TTCCCTAATACCCTGCGTCTAACCTCACTATTACTTACCCGGTGATCCCAGCAGATGCCAGCAATATTTCTAAGGCATCTGTGGTCAAATACTTGTAGCTTACGGGTGTCTTCTACTCTTAAAGGCCATGTTTCGCTGCCGTAAAGTAAGACAGAACGGACTGCCGCGCAGTATACTCGTCCTTTTATTGATAGACGGATATCTCGCCTCCGCCAAAGGTGACGTAAGTTGGCAAAAGCCAAACGAGCTTTTCGAATCCGTGCTGAGATTTCGTCAGACACCAACCCATTAGGGCTGATCAGACTTCCAAGATAAGTGAAGTTGTCAACGCGTTCGACTACTTCACTCCCTATCCTTAGTTCAGGTGTTGACACAGACCAGTCCTGAAGCAACAACTTGCATTTCGAGGGAGAGAAGCGCATCCCAAACATTCTGGCATTGTTGCTTAGTGCTACCAGAAGACTCTGAATTTTGTCAGCGTCTTCACCAAACAGGACTATATCATCTGCGTATTCTAAGTCGATAAGTGGACCTCCTGGAAGGAGATCAATACCCGAGAATTCAGTCGACGAGAGTGTTATTTTCATCAATAGGTCTATGATGAAGTTAAACAAAAATGGAGAAAGTATATGTATGTATAGAATACAGCCTTGACGGACACCACTTGAAGTTGCAGAAGTAGATGACAGTTCGCCATAAGCTCTGACTCGACTAGTAGTGTTCGAGTAAAGAGCCTTCACAAGGTTTATGTACTTCTGAGGTACGCCTTTCAATGACAGACACTGCCACAGAGTCTCGCGGTCTACAGAGTCAAACGCTGCTTTTAAGTCAAGAAAGACCACCATCGTCGGACGCCGATAGGTATGCCTGTGTTCTAGAACCTGACGAATGGTGAATATGTGGTCGATGCAGCCACGACCAGGTCTAAAGCCAGCTTGGTTCTCTCGAGTTTGTATTTCACGAGTCTTAGTTAGGCGTCTGATAATTATCGAGGCCAGTATTTTAGATACTATGTTTGTTAAACTAATCCCTCTGTGGTTGTCACAGGATGATTTTGACCCTTTCTTATATATTGGGACGATGAGTGATTGCGACCAGTCAGATGGGATAAAGTCTAATTCCCAGATCTTAGCTAAAATATTAGTCAACCTAATCGCTAAAATTGGACCACCATCCTTAAAGACCTCTGGAGCCAATCCATCTGGACCAGCTGCCCTTCCTCGTTTCAGATTAACTATAGCCTTTTGAACTTCAGCAAGAGTTGGGGGACCTACTTCAATGTTCCATTCACATTGTCTGGGAATGGAGGGTAGTTGTAGAGTAGCTGAAGGCCAGCTGAACTGTTCTCTAAAATGTTCCGCCCATCGTTCTAAGCGTCTGGACTGGGAGCAGATGAGAGTATCATCTTTTTCCGAAATAATCTCACTTACACTTGACTTATTAATTCCAGTTTCTTTTATTAGTCTGTAAAGCTGTCTTGTGTTCCCTATAGTCGCCGCCTTTTCCACCTCTTTTGCTTTCGTTACCCACCACTGCTCACGGTCGTTCCTTAGACTTTTTCTTAACCTAGATCTGATTTGTTTTCGCTCTTCATCATGTTCAGAACCTGATGGGACGAGTTTGCGAGAATCCATCAGTGTGACAGACCTTGAAGAAATCCACTGGTTCCTTGCAACTCTGTGGTTTAAGTCACTAATAGATGTCACTGCTGTTTCCACAGCTGATTGTATACCTTTCCAAGCAACATCTGGGTCAGCCTCGTCTTCACAACTACCTAAGTGTGACCTCAGTTGTTCCTGGAACCTACTTTTGGTTTTCTCGTTACTCAACTCAGTTCTAACGGGTCTTTTTAATGTGGCTTTTTTGCGTCCAGTGAGGCGCAAGCAGATGCGTGCCCGTATTAGGGCATGGTCGGAGTCCAAGCAGGTACTCCAGAATGAGCGACAATCTTCTACCGACCCTCTCCAACGATGACTGATGGCAATATGGTCTATTTGAGTCCATCGTTGGTTTGGTGTAGGGGGTCGCCATGTTAGACGATGTCTCTCCTTATGCTTAAAATTTGTGTTTGCTAAAAATAAACGATTGTCTGAGCATAGCTGCAGCAGACGATCACCATTATCTGTTCGCTGTGTCGGAATACTAAAATATCCACCTAAATGCCTTTCTGTTTGGTTTAAGCTACCTATCTGAGCATTAAAATCACCTGCTACGAGTACTATGTCTGAGCGTTTAGCTTTCTGAAGAAGTTCAGAAAGCTTTCTGTAAAATTCATCTTTCACTTCATCTGAGCTGCAGTCAGTGGGAGCGTAGACAGAAACGACAAAAAGGCAACGACGTGTGTCCCTATCCTTCCGAGTTCTTACGTAGCCGTTCAGCCGAACAGCACATAGACGACTGTTGACGGGGATCCACTCTAGCAGTGCTTGTTCGGCCCTCATGCTTAGTGCTATGCCTACACCTGCCAGTCCACGAGAACTGGCCATCGGGTCACCAGATACACGGAGGGTGTATCTCGTTGACTCTCCGTTCTGCCGAGGTGAGGTCAAGTGAATGACCACACTGGGATCCTGTATGCGTGTTTCAGAGACACAGCATACATCAATGGAAAGAGACTCTAGGGTTTTAGCCAAGGAAGCCTGCTGACCGATTTGACATAGAGTGCGTACGTTGAAAGCTCCAATGTGTAGTTTGGAGCGAGGTTTCAGTAGACCTGGGACAGAGTTTTGAGCACTAGAATCGTTGGCTATGGTGACACTTGAGGAGGAAGCCGAAGGAGGAAGTTTAGGGTTGAAAGTCGATGTAGGAGGAATAATAGGAATTGAAGAGGAAGGTTGATTATAAATACAGTGGTCTTGGGTGCTGTTAGAGGTATGAGGGCGGTTATCACTTCCCGGTTGCCCACACCGTGGAAGGGTTCTTCTGGAGGTACCTGAAAAGGAAATTGGATTAGAGGTGGTCTCAGTGACCTGAGAGCGTGACCGCAGTGCCCAAGGGACAACTGCTTGAGGCCGGTCGCGCACGGCCTTTTCGTGGAAGGTTTTCGACGTGTTAGCTCCGTTCTTCAAAGGGCCTTACCGCCGGAGACGGAAATCCGTGAGGTAAGGTGAGGTGTGCATTTTTAGGGTCGACCTTTTCTAACCCAACCCCTCCTTGTGGGAAGGCAGCATCGCTGTCATGCTGGTTGTCTGAAGGAAACACCTTACTGCTGTCACACCTCTGTACAGTCAGCAGTACGACTTCGCCTTCGGACCTTGGGTTTGTTGCTTTTAGTCTTACCGCTCTTCAACCGACCTGTCTGACATGGTAGGACCTTGAGGAACGGTTGTTCCAGTCAGTATAGCTCGGTTGCTTCATCACGATAGGCAAGCCCGACCACCACGTCAAGGTAGCAACAACGGTCGGGCTAACTATTAGCAGTGTGACAGGACTTGGTAAGGCTCGAAAATGCACACTACATGGTTCTCTTGTCCATAAATATATTATTAATAACCAACAATATTCATTAACGTAATTTCAAGTGCACTGAAAGTTCTATTTATGCTTACTTCAGAAACGAAAGTACCAAGAGTTCGCGCGAAGAAATGGGCAAGATAATTATCAGAAGACCAAAGCCTGTTCTGAATTAACTTGTTAAGCAAGACCGTTAAAGCTATACATAGACAACATGATGATAACCAGTTCTAGATATGCGGATCACCGAGTAAAATTTGAACTTGTGGATTCTGATCTCAACAAACAAAAGATTCGAGCTTAGAAATCACATCTCAAATGGTGTGCATCAACTCGGAAGACTGTTACAAATTGCTTACATTACCATAAGTATCAGGTCCAATTGTGTATTGAGTAGAAATAACTACATTGAAGAGTGAAAAACGATGTTGTAACTACACAGTAACAAAAATTACGGACTGTATTGGTCGACAGTACTATCCATAAAATATACAACTACGGCAAAATACTGTCAAATGAGGAAAGTAGTTGTTTATGTTTATAAAACAGGTGAGAAGATGGGTGCAAGATCTCAAAAATCCACTTGCAACTAAACTATTTCGAACCGATGCTAACAACAAAACAAATCAGAAGTACCAAAGTAGGTCTCGATAAGGTTTTCCGGTAACAATATCCTTAACTAGATTATGCTAAACTATTTCTATTAAGGCTCAACAGAGCTGATGCGTTTCTCAAAGCTATAATATTTGGTCTACTGAAGTAGAATTGCTAACCATGAAAGGACTCAGTTATTATTCAACTTGCTACGATACATTAGTTTACAGTAGTAATGGCCGTTTTATGGCAGTCAACATGAGATAATGAACCGCTTTAATTTTGTCAGAATACGATAGTCATGCAGGGACATTAATTGGAAACAGTAGTTATATAAAGTAACTAGAGAACTATGCTTAGGATCGTCACTAAAAACCTCATACAAACTAATAAGCGTATTATGCTAACGAAAATACACGCCTTAACACGAGTAAACAGACTACTGAAAAACAAGATTAGACTGCCATAAAATCCGATACTCTCATTGATGCAATCTTCTTCCCAACATGAAATCAGACTTTTCCTTAAAGCAATCTCTTGAATAAACACAAGTTTTAATAGCTTTGGTCAAATATAAACAGATTACTAAATTCTGAGAAGATTAGATGATGAGTATCACGAGCAGCAATTGCTCAAGTAATGAATTTCTCGTAAAGTGAATTGATACAATTAAATATTTAAACAAATGAAAACGTCTGAGTGAACCAACCTGTACCGCCAACTGTCACTAAACACGGCACAAGTCTAGTTCGAAAAAAGAAGAAATACTCGCGACAACCTTAAAAGCATTTTCACAAACGCACAAGTGACAAACCAGTAAGAATAGAATAAGAAAGTAAGGTTAATCGAGAATGAAAAAAATCGATCGACACTAAATGTAACACGTACGTCATCAATGAGTACAAGAAGAAAGGAGAAAATACGTTTATCGAAATGTTTTGTGTAGTGCCGTATCAAGGATCCATAGCATATTTCTGTGTCCACACTCGAGCTAACTCATCGTATTTCTTACGATCTGTTTTGTACTGGCGTGCGACGTCCGGGCATAGAGGGTCATCTGGATTGGGGTCCGTCAATAGTGAGCAAATTGAGAGTAGAACTAATTGAAACGCAAATTGAGTATTTATAAACGAATGTTTACCTTTCGATATTGTGAGGGCTGGTGACCATTGTCCACGGAGGATATCTAAGCAGATACTACCATTAGGATTTATATTCGGATGATATATTTTCGTCATGAAACTGATCTGTCACAAAGTTGGCTTGACAATGATACAACGCTTACCTTAGGGGGTTTGAAAGGGTAGTCTGTGGGAAATAGTATTTTCAGGGAAAAGACTCCACCTTCATATGGACTATCGGCCTACAAGTACATTATTACAGAATAGACAGACGTACAGGTCCCATAATAGTGGCTTGCCAGACAAACACTAAATGTAAACTAATACAACGTACATTGACTTACGATCATCTTCACAAGGACCAGCTGAACACTGAGTTGGAGGATCTACGCTTAAGTCTTGTAACTCCTTAATAAAACAATTCTGCTGCACAAAACACTGAACACGTTCTTACTTTAGATATACGTTTTAATGCCATTTGTACAGCTGTGGAACAAAAAATTCGAAACTGCGCGGCAGAATACCACAGTGAGCTCAAACGCCATTCACCCCGACTCAATATACAAGATGTTTGAAACGAGCTAATGTGTCGAAAGTGTTTCACGTATCCCGATTACCGTCAGGTTGAATCTGTCCAACCACAGTACCACTCGACTGGTCGTTTTGGCCTCCTACATTGTTTGGACATTACACAAAATCATGTTAATTGTTGCTCTGGCGGTCAAAAGGAATACTGGCCTCACGATTTCCAAGGAATTTGGGCCTTTAATTTGGGATGAGGTAAGTCTTCTAGTGGAAACTCCTGAAACATAGTTTAAATAGCTAAGACGACTTTTCAGGTTAGCGCTATTCTAGCAATTTTGGCTGCTACTGGTTGAGGTTGCTAAACCAAATTTCAAACCTCCTTTTATTATTTGGGCTTCGGAATAACAGTAGCTCTTGAACGGCTTTAAGCTTGCGGTGTTATTCAGACACTTCAGTACTTTAGCGAACACAGATCAAGACTGTTCTAAAATTCACCTGTCATCTTGAAAAATCTTTAGCACATTCCTCAGCTGTTATGGTTCGACGATAGAGCATTGTTATGAGTGTCTTTGACTATACGGTTCAGCACAGAAGTGCTAAACAAATTCAACACGTTGACTAACTTTCTCGACAATCATTATAACATATACCTTTTATTACTTCAGACTGTTCGTCAGTGCAGCCTTTACCGGTGAGACGTCCAGATCTCATTGGGGGAACTCGTGGATACTTTGGATGTATACTCAGTGCTATACGGAAATGGAATGCTAATCTGCAACGTAGATTTTCTGTTTGTTTTCCAATGCAGGATGAGTTTTGCATTACTCCTGATGGTATTTTGTGCTTAAATGATCGTTTTGTTATTCCTCCTTCATTGCGTAAATCTATCGTCGGTGATCTTTATAGTGGACAGTTAGGTGTTGAGAAATTTACGTCCTTGGCAATGCTCACATGTTGGTGGCCATAGATAAATGCAGGTATATCGTACAGCGAGCAATTGTGAAAAATGTCATAAGTTGGAGAATCAGTCACCGAAGTGGACTCCACTGCCAGTATCGTCTTAGACCTGACAGAGAATTCATGCAGACTATTGTGGTCCATTTCTTGGCAAATACTATGCACATATAGTCATTGATTATTTGTCGAAGTGGCCTGAAGTTTGTTTCATAACTTCAAATAGATACTTCTCTACTGCATTATGGAAACGCTAAACATTCTGTGACGAAAGAGACTCCATTAAAGCCACTAAAAGGAAGAATTCTTCGTTCGATTATGAGGTCTTTGGAGTCTGATGAAGTTACATATTATTGTGGAAATGATATTCGGCCAGCCATGGGGATTCTAGTGAAGAATTTCGGAAAATCTATGGTACGAATTCTAGATATCAGTGATTTAAGTACACAACCAACATGTTGATGAAATACAATTACAGCGTAGCGGTAAATAATTCCCCAACTAAATAGCCCTGTAAGTTTTCGACATTGAATACTGACCACATTAGTTTTAATGGACTCACATAACTGAAGGCGCTCGGACATGCATCCGCACCAGATCACGAGTGAGAAAGCCGTGCTCAACATCTACTGCAATCGTTAGTCAGATTAGCTCAGACGATTCTCGATATATTGATAGCCTATCAAATATATCTTCGAACCTCCTCGCTTCCGTCTTTTGATTTCACTTGGTGTGTACGCTTCATAATAGGTGTTACTGGTTAAAGCGTTGTCAAACTCCGAATACCTGTGGCATCTTCATTGGTAAGCCTAACGTGATCTGGCACACCAAATCGCAAACTAAGAGTCTGTTCCTTTTTGGGATTATATATATCGTTGCCTTATCTTAACTTTTTATACAGTGTGATATTTTTTCGTGTTTTTGGATATATATATTCTTTTGCCTTGTGCATTCTCTTACTTCATATTTCGTCATGACTGAACAGACACCCAAGGTGCTTAACCTTAAGACTATATCCCCACCTTCGTTCCAACTGATGCCCTTCTAGCCAGACAACGTGGAAGCCTGGTTTCGCCACGCCGAAGCCGACTTCTACGAGCTCGAAGTGAACGACATTATTAAAACTTCCTCAACAGATGCAAGCTGTGCTGGTATCGTTTCAAAACAACACCGAGGTTTTTCATTCAGAGAAAAGCCTCAAACAACCCAGAATGACATAACAGAGTTATAACATACACTTACACGTTATCTTAAATTTCGTAACGACCGTAAACGGTCACACATCCCTCTAAGAAGCACTTCACGTAAGCGATCTGTCTCTAGATCACGAGAGACAGGTAACCCCGACTGGTGCTGGTATCGTAACCAATATGGAAAGTCTTCCAGAAATTGCAGAAAGTTTTGCAATTTTCTCAACTCAAAAACGACCGACACGACAAACAACTCGAGAAACTTCCAAACCGGCACACGTTAACGGCAATCGTAGCTGGCGAACATAGCCGTCTGTTATACGTCACAGATGTGACAACGAGAGTTCCCTACCTCGTCGACACTGGCGCAGAAGTTAGCGTTCTCCCAGCGAATTCTAATGACCGGCTTCACGAATCGGCTTTAAATTTACAGGCGGCAAACGGAAAACCGATCGCTACGTATGGCAAAAGGTACGTTTACCTTAACGTGAGTTTACGCGAACTCATTCACTGGATCTTCGTTGTTGCAGATTTTTCTATTGCAGTCATTGGTATAGACCTTCTACAACAGCATAATGCTACTCATCGATACGCGCAAACGGAGGCTAGTAGACGGAAACATCAATTTATCTAAATAGAGCAAGAACAAACATTGATGCAGAATAGTATTAATTCATATTATTTCGAGGTTTCTCGTCAGCTGCTTACAAACCAAAATTGTGATAGAATTTTTTTACATGAACATAGTGTGAAAACAATCGACATAAATGAGTGTAAATAGCTGGATTACAATAATAACTATATATATATATGCTAGAAACAGGTCAGAGGTCGAAAAGGGGGGTTAATTCAGGTTGGGTGGCGTAATAGTTTAGTGAAGTTCATGAATTGTGTGATAAATAATGGAATTAAATAATGACAAGTTAGATTACGTAATAATAATTGAATAGAATTAGAAAAAGTTAAGATAATTTAAGAGGATTAGGTGGTGAAAATGTGTGAGTGAAATTTAGTTTAAGAATTAGGTAATAAGGGGGGAGTATAAAATGTATGAAAATAAGTAAATGAATAAAATAACCAAATAATATTAATAACCAAATAATTTTCCTGTTTGCGTAACTTCTTTTTCTGGTTGCAGATTATCTACAGTCACGATTAAGAACACGATAGACCCATTCTATCAACCACTACTCGATAAGTATTCTGGGATACACCAAACGCAACCGAAATTGCCGTGTGTAACCAGCAACGTTACGCATCACGTCACTACTACAGGACCACATGCATTCTCAAAAGCACGCCGACCAGCTCCCGAAAAGCTAAGGTTGGCCAAAAACGAATTCGACCACATGATAGATTTAGGTATTATAAGACCGTCAAACAGCCCATGGGCAGCTCCGTTGCACATGGTTCCTAAAAAGGACAGCAACGACTAGCATCCAACTGGTGACTATCAGCGATTGAAGTACCAAAAAGTAAATCAATTCAAAGGACTTTTAACGCAGCTAAACTACAACTAGTATTTTCCACATGACCAATAATCACTCCGAGGTTGAAAGATAAATTACCTAGACTAGCCACCTCTTTCTGTATCTATCAATTCAACTGCTCCTGTGGAGCAAGTTATAATGGCAGATGTTCTAGGAATTTGTGCATTCGGGCTCGTGAGCACCTACCCGTGTGGTTAAGCAAAGGTGTTGTCAAAACTGTTAACAGCTCCATCTTAGACCATTTAGTCCAAACAGGACATACAGCCAACATGGAGCAATCTTTTGCAATAGTTTATCGTGTCAACAGCAGTCTACCTAATTCCATCAGACTGCGAATCCTACAGACGGCTGAAGCAATTGCTATTCGGATCAAAAAGCCAGAGCTTTGTATCGAAAAGAAGTATGTTCAGCCACTCCTTTTACCCTGGCCAACTAGCTAATAACCAATCTTAAAATGTGGTGACGCAATCTGATTAATGTTCATTTTATGTCCCAAACTTATTACTATTACTATTGTTATTACTGTTATTATTATTACTATTGTCTTTACACTTGATAACCCCCTTTGGAGTAATTTATTCAATATCCACCCCTGAATGTACTATATTTGACCTAATTATTTTACATATTACGCAATTTCCGAATTGTAATCACAATATTCTCTCTCTCTCTCTTACCCCATGTTGACCATATTTATTCTGATAATTTATCTCACAATTTCATTTCACTTATAAACTGATTCAAGTTAACACTTCGTATTAGTCAGCCCCAACATTAACGATTTTATTTTATATAACAAACAATTCCTGATTTACATATTACAATTTCCAAATGATGATGTATTTTGCCTTAAATCTGGCCAATTTTATGGATTATTAATCTGGATTTATAATTGTAGAACCTGATGAGAAATTATTGAAAAGAATATCCTTCGTTCATACAATTGTGCTTACATATT